AAAAAAAAAAAAAATAGCTGGGCATTGTGGAGGCTACTTGGGAGGCTGAGGCAAGAGAATTACCTAAGCCCAAGAGCTGAGCTGGAGGTTGCTGTGAGCTCTGTGATGCCACGGCACTCTACTGAGGGCGACAAAGTTTTGAGACTCTATCTTTAAAAAAAAAACAAAAACAAAAACCCAGTCACTTTAGAGTAATCAAATCAAAATGAGCTATCAAATATGGGTACCTTTAGCCCTCTTCAAAGTACTGCAAAAGGTACTTCAATCTACTGACCCTGACCATCCCAATTTTGATAGTCATGGGCTGTCTCAAACACATGATTCTCAAGTCAGTAGTGAGGTGATCTGCAACACAGCTTAAGTTACCTCCATGTATTGGCATCAGGATCAAAAACTTCAATGGTCTTCAAGTATGTTGTACCATCAAAACCTCCCACTGCCATGAGCTGTCCATTGACCACTGCCAGGCCAACCTAGAGAATCAAAACATAGTGGCTGCTGAAGAAACTAGATAATTACTGGGAAAGTTTAGACCGGTTTCTAGGAAAGTCTCTTTAATAAAAGAAAATTCTTTATGGTCTTACATTCTGGTTTGCTTGAACACAGAGGAAAAATGTAATAATAAAAATTGATTAAATTACAGGGATTATTTTAAAACATGTATAAATTTTAGAAAAAGTCTTCACTAGGAGTGAGCAAGAATCTCTAAACTGCTTGTTGTATTTGCACATTCCAATCCACTTTCTAAATTGCTACTCTAATTCTCTTAAAAATACAAATTTAATCTTCTTGCTACTTTCTTCTTTAAAAACTTAATTAAGTGTATCTTCTATCGAAGTAAGTTTAAAGCCCATATGATGTTACTCAGGACCTCCAGAAATCCATCTAAACCCACTGTGTGAACCTCTCTTCCTCCTATTGCACCGGCAGCCACACTGTGACTGGATTAACTGCTCCTACCTGAAAGTACCATACATTTTCACATCCCCTTGGTTTTTGTACATGCTGTTCCCTGGCTGGTGTTTCCTGTCCCTCTTCTAGAAAACCTTATTCATCTCTCCTCATTCTTAAACTTTCCTCACCCCATAGCAGTAAGCATGTTCTCTCATGTTTTCCTACAACGTGCCTGCCACTAGTATAGTACTTATTCATTATAGTTAGCTGTAAACATTTCAGTTTCCTTCACTAAATTGGCAGCTTTTTGAGGAGAATTGTGTCATACTCGTTTTTGCTTTCCCAGCACACAATGAGCACTTAAAGATACATTATTGATGAGTAAATGACTATAAATATAACCAATAGAATATAGCTATAAAAATAACAGGAAAGTGACTAAGAAGCTGTTAGTAACCAGGAATACAAAGCCACATATGTGTGGATGTTCTGACTTGTCGATGCTTTGCAGTGGTGTTCCTGATTTATGCAAACCAGAATTTGTTCCCTTTTATCCTCCGATTACAGAGTCCTCAGCCACAGCTTGCTGCTTCTTCCTGTTGTGGATGTGTTGTCCTAAATTGATGGACTTCTGACATGATCAGTGCTTAATGGGTTCCATTGTACCCTGAGCAAACGTCCCAGAATTGATGAATCCTATACTTTACCCCAGAAGACTCTTGTATTCACAGGTCATCCATGGTATACAATATGACATAGAGCTTGATCTGGCCTATATTATAGATGAGGTAGACTCAAACCAGCTAGTGGAGACTGGTGGTGGGGCCACATGTGTTTTTACCCAAACATTTGCATTAGTATGACAACTACTTATAATATTAGCTAGAAATGGCAGGTAGGAATATTTAGCTCCAATAGATATGAAGTTAGTTAGAGAAGGTAGGTAGATAGGGCCATGCTTTCCAGAGAAGCAACTGACACAAGATAAATCATCAAAAATTAATTATCTAATTAAAGATATGACTGGATATAAGATTTTTAACTATCTGAGATAAAAGCAATAAAAAAATTTATTTTGTTTCTAGTGTAAAATTATCAGGAGTTGTTCCACAAAGCATCCCAATAGCATCAGATGAAACAACTGAAAACTAAAACACGCAGGCACTAGCTGTTCACCTCCACATTGTCCCAGTATATTACATTTCACAGATCACAGCACCCTTTCTGCAGAGTCCTCTCTTGGTGCTTATTTTTCAAAGCTCAAAGCTCTCAGTAGCTGGGTACTTACTCCACTGCGGCGGGATGTCATGGCCACCACCGGTGACCACTGATTCGTTCTAGGGTTGTATCTCTCAGCACTGCTAAGCTCAGTAGTGTCATCTCTACCTCCTACAGCGTAGATCATGTCCTGATACACTGCACAGCCTAGGTGTTTCCTCCGGGTCCCCATAGGGGCTATTGTGTGCCATCTGTTTTCCTGAGGATTGTAGCGCTCCACTGTAGGGAAAAGAAAAAGTAGCAAGTGGTCATTCAACCATTTCCCCTCACCTCTGGTTTTCTTTATTGCCATCAAAACTGTGATAACACGTATTTAAAAAAAAAAAAAAGAAATCAGATTTTTGCTTCTAAGAAACACTTGGCATACCTTTGTGCAACTATATATATATACTCTCAGCAGGGACTGGTTTCTTCTAGTTATGGTACAGTAGAAAGGGCATGTGTTGGAGTTAAGACACTGGGGGTTCTGGCTCGGTGCCTATAGCTCAGCAGTTGGGGCGCCAGCCACATACACTGGAGCTGGTGGGTTTGAATCCAGCCCAGGCCTGCCAAATAATAGTGACAACTACAACCAAAAAATAATGACAACTACAACCAAAAAATAGCTGGGCATTGTGGCAGGCACCTGTAGTCCCAGCTACTTGGGAGGCTGAGGCAAGAGAATTGCTTAAGCCCAAGTGTTTGAGGTTGCTGTGAG